ATACTGTGTACAATACAACGCCAGTGGTTTCATGTGTTTGTAACGTGCCTCTGATGATGGTTCTTTTGAACCGAAACATGTAAGGCGAGTGAAATAAATAAGTGACCTAAGAACGTTGTTACACTCGACGGATTATTCATTGACAATTTGTGATTGATAGTGTAACGGACCAAATATGAAACAATTCAAATGAGAACTCCCATCATGATAGTCAGTGTTTTCCAGGGATTTCAATCAGTGTAGAAATTTATCGCTAAACCAGGCCAGTAAATGTGAATTCTAGATCTCCCAATATATGTCTGAATACCTGCATCCAGTGCCCTTGTATTCTTATTCAATATATAACATATTGTCACTATCAAATATGCTTGTTATAAAAATAATACTCCCTTTACTTCACCATCTTCAGAGGATCTAATATTTCAGCTACCTCAGTCCTTCTCAGTTTCCTCCCATCGTTTTTGTTTCCTTCTTCTGTGCCACATCTTTCCTAACCCAGTTCCCATCCTGATCTCTCTTCTTGACTGTTCATTCGTTCTGACTTCAGGTTTCCCCTTTGGCACTTTCCCTTTCCTTTCATGTTCAAACCCTTCTTTGGGATTCTCTCTTCATTCATTATTAAAGTATCTTACTCTGTTATTTACAAATTTATGTTTATATTCCCCCCTCCCAATTGTTCCATAACACTCTACTGTATACTTACCATTCTTCTTAAAATATTAAATACTGGCAACAAAGAATAGATCCAGAATACCAAATTTCATCATATTTTGTCAAGTAGTTTCAGAGATTCGGCACACAGACAGATATGACTTGACCTTCACGATCCTATTGCGATTTGAAGCAGGTGTGGTAAGCACCGTTTTGAAGGAGGCATAGTATAGTCAAGCCAAGGAGGATGAGCTGGTCATGCTACTAACATGCATGGGAGAGGCACACATACAAGGTTTTGATATGAAAATGAGAAGAAAAAATCTGGTAATTTCTTGAGTGGCTGAGCAACTGCTGGATTCTCAAGAACCCAGCTCCATGCAGCTAATTAGTTAAAACGTGTTTAAAATTCAGTTTCATTATAACATCTAGATCAATTCAATAGTAATGCATTTGATATATATTTAAAAAATGACTAAGATTTTTCATAGTTTTGATGCAAGAAAATTATATGAGACAAACTCCGTCTTAAGTGTAACAATTTAATTGTGGTTCTTTCTTCTTTCCTTCCTCTACACTACATGTTTCGGCCCTAAATGGCCATCATCAGGTGTATATTCTTACGTAGCTGCTACACTGCCCGTAGTTTAAAATTTAAAACACCAGTCTTTCCAATTGTATGTATGTATAAAATCTTTGTTAACCTACACACGTCAATTTGATTTCCAAAATTGGCACTTTTTAAAACTTCAATTTCAAATTAAAATGTCTTTAAATTTTCCCTTCTTTTTCTTTTTCCAAATTTTAAAAATTAAAATTTCTCGGGGTACTCGCCCTATGTCTATAGTGCTGCAGCGGCCACTTCTTGTTTTATCGCTGTTCAGGTATTGTTCTGTGTAGGCTCTCTGTGTGTGTGCCGCTGCCTATCTTTAATACAGCACACGTATTAAAGATAGACAGCGGCTGCTTATAACATAGCAGTTATGATGAAGCACTGCACATTAAAACTAAATTTCATTGATGCCTCTTAGTGCAGATGACTAATACCAATTTAATTAATATCCATTCCGTACTTTCTGAGATGAACCATGTGGATGGATGGATGAAGATTGCAACCTTCTCACTGTGTATTTCTTTCATGTGTTCTGCACCAAGAACCATACAAATGTGCAAAATTCTCAACTGTAAGAAAAGCCTAAAATTCTGAATTTACGAACAAGATCATATACAATTTAAAACTGTGCAAGGTGGAGTAATAACCATACATCACTTGACTGGTTGAAATGAACTGCCATGATCTTAATTTTTTAAACACAAATTAAAATTAAACAACACTCTTATCATTGTTAACGTGCTCATCTGTATTTCACCACACAACATTAGGTATGTTTTCTGATTTTAATTTTGAAGTGCCAAATACACAAACTATCTGATATTCATCAACTGAATAAGGAATCAAGAAAGCTTAGAAATCAGATTAGAAAATCCTAAAACATGATGGAAAACAACAAATTTCAAAATTATTTACATAACCTGTGAAATGGAACACATGGCCCAGTTAACAGGTGAACATGGGTATGCAGTCCATTTAATAGGTAAACAGCCAAGTATGTTCTAGGGAGCAATTAAGACATTAATTTGGATTTAGAAAGAGAGAAAAAAATAAGTAATAAAATTTATTATAAAAAACTCTGGCAGCACAAACTTACTGCAGATACATACATCTGAAAATCTCTATTTCACGTCCATTCTTCAGTTAGTGAATAATGCATTTGTGTATTTTAAAATACCTAATTTCAGTATAACTTATTCATCACATCCCAAGTTAGGGTACTTTAAATTTGGAGGATAAGAGTAAATCACAATGATGTACATACTGTGACTGCATGACACATGAGCAGACGTGTGTTACAATAGGTGCCACAAAACAATTCACACTCTGGCTGTATAAGTTCTGCAGAATGCACTTTAAGGTAAATTATGGAAAAGAGAATGGTAAGCGCACTCCAAAACATGATAGATGATTCTAAAGGGTTCTGATGATGATGATATATAACACTCAGAATTACTGGGTTTTTGGACTTCGCCCATCATCCGGCATTCTAAAAATTAGAAAACGCAATGTTTCTGAAACTGTATGTGTTTACATCCCCAGGTGAGGGGGGAGACACCTACTCTGTTGGGTCCCTTAGAAAGAGCTAATCTCAATCACTGGACAGCCCATGTCAGATTCATTTATATACCTGAGACCAGGCTATATTGAAGTGAGATAACAGGAAAATATGCAATAAAAAGTCTGAAAACCCAGTAATTCTCACCGAAAGTTATGGCAGAGTAGTTAACAGTCCTATTTCATATCTATGAGGTCTCAGTTTCAATTCTTTGTCCACAGACTGGCTATCCTGCCTCATGTTTTCTCAGGTATGGGGGAGTGCTGTAATACAGGACATACTGACTTCCTTTTACATTCTTTCAAATTCATCAGTTACAATCGTCCTACCATCTGGTGCTGCACAGCCAATGCAGTTACAAATTTACTGTTACACAGCCAAGAGATGGAGTTCACAGTGTGAACAAAACATCTGCTTTCTTCTATGATTTGCAATGGGCCATTACTCCAGAAAGTTTGTTCTATTTTCCTCCTCATGTAATGTAAATATACACTTGAACTATAAATGTTTAAGTGTTTTAAGGTAAGATTCTTAATGTGAAAGCAAGTTAGTTTGTATTTTTATGTCACTACTATTTGTAAAATTTAATATTTAAAATTTAAGCAAATTACTGATATCTGCATCTGAAATAAACTGTAAAGCAATCTTTGGGAAACAGTACAAGATACTTTGGAGAAACTGACATTTTACTACTGCTGTAAATGATTAGACTGTGGATCATAACTATTTATTAGATTTTGTATTATTCGTGTTTTAAGTCCATCTTTGGAAATCTTTATACATCATAACTCAAACATACTTCAATATATTTGCAATCTGCCCTAGTAATAGTAATCTTCAAATGTACATGACATATTCTCTGGCTAGGGCATGGCATCTTCAAATGTCATCTGGTTCATAATCGTAACCACTCCCTGCACAGAACCAAAAATAGTTAGAACAAACACATACAAGCAGGTGTGTGCTTCTGTGCAATTTATCTCACTCTTTCATGATATAAGATAATTCACATGCATGTACTTCTTAGAGGGAAGGATTTATTGCAAGGAACATTTCATATCTGGATCTTAAAAATGATATTGTGTTTCCTGTCATATTTACTTTGAGATCCTGAAAACTTACAAATATTGCTGTCTTAACCAATCAACAAGCAAAAGTTGAACACACTTCACATCAGTATGATCCATGTCAATATTAATGCCTTCTAATTAAGTCCTGAGTACCACACAACTAGCAATGAACAATACAAAATTAAAGGTTGGTAGGAAAGGTCAGTTTTACCACTTCTACGTAATCACAGTTTGTGAATGAACTTATTCTTGCTCTGATATTCCCATCATCCTTTAATTTTATCTTCACCAAGTCTCTCAAATTAGTTATGTCACTATCTAATAAAATGTGTTTATTATTAATAAAAGTCTCAAAGAGCTAAAATGCTAATTTTATTCCTTTGTATCAAACATATAACAGCTGTTTACTTAAATTAACACAAACAAAGGAAACTTCTATGCCACTGTTAAGAAATGGTAGTACAGAACACAGCACTGCTCGAAAATAAAATCCTTTCCACCTTCTGCAACCACTGCGGTAAAACAATGCCTCTTTCTTTGCAACCTACTGATGCAAGTAAAATACCACCTAAGGTAGAATTGGACACCTAAACTTTCAATGAAACAGGAGGGCTCAGAGCCCAGTAGTAAGTTTACAATAAAGTACATACACAATACAAATGTTCTAAACAGATCATTCATAGCCACACAATTATCTAGATAACACCCATAATTATATCTGGGAGTTTCACACACTTTGTTAATTTTAGACTCACCCATGTTACTGTTCCTGGTCTCTACTCAGCAATATTATCACACACTGAATAAGGGTATCTCACTTCCTAACAAACTCTACATAGCAATGCACTGGACTGATTATAATTAAAAATCTCACACTTTCAGAACAAACGGTATGTAACTCAATACCTCAGAGCCTGTGCAAGGCAGAGTCCTGTACAAATATCGTAACAATATGCTTCCATCTGTGTGTACTCCTATCACCAATGCTATGTGCAGATCCACTCTTCATTTGGACACTGAGCTCTTGTCTGAGGCAATAAATAACGAGATCTTTTGTTGATGTAATAAGATTCAAAGGAAAGCAAGAGTGCTGATACAAGCCCTTCTCTCCGCATGCCAGTCAGTGCTGCAGGAGGTCATCAACACTGGCAAAGGCACATGAGCCCAGTCCTGATCGTGACATCAACCTCACAAGCTCCTGAGCATGAGCCAAGGCCACCTCCAGTGGTGGCCGGCGTGGCAAGTTGCTAGATTCTGTGCAACACACAACAAATCTTATAAGTCATGGTAAGTATACTACAAAGTGCACTTATTTATTTATAAATACTGCTTGTTATATAGGTATACTCCAATTTAAGGTTATTTGCTTTATATGTTTCAGTATATTTGCAATTTCAGTTCCTACAAACATATCCTATTTTCTTTCTGCATCTCTGTATCTATGCAGTTCATGCCACACCCTGCTCTGACTTCACTTTTGAAGTCACGGGAGATCTTGAATTCACACTTTGAAAATGTGTGCATTAGCAATGGAAAGTGGCCATTAACTCTATATGTGCATACTTCTTTGTATGTTATTACAGTGTTGTACCCAAATAGCTCAATCCCATGCCAGACTAGCATGGAATGACTGCGACATTTCTAACTGCTTCCAAGTCAGAGGTTCATATTTGGGTTGCAGGGAATGTAGCAAAAATTAGGAAGTACAGTCTGACAGCCAGAGCTAGGTCTGAATCTCACACCAAGCTGGAACAGTTAAAATGAAGATAACCCTGAGACCTATTCAACTGTAATTCATATCGGGAAATAACAGAACTTGTATTAAAACGTGAGTGATTTTCTTACCCCTACATCTGAAAGGCCAATCACCACCCTAAATTCAAATTTGGCTTCATACAGAGTGAGAAGTAAGGCACAATACACTTGAAAAACACGGATAGTGTCCTGAATGCTCCTGTTCTTCTAAAATCAAAGTATGTTCACTCAGTGACATGAATTCGGATTATTAACTCAGTCTTCTAAATTCCGAGGGTTAACGATCACAGACATGTCATACCTCTTGCCACATACTTTTTGATTTATAAACTGTCTTGCAACATTAAATTATTTTAAAATCAGATAATTAAAATTGGTGTGACAGCACTATATTACATAACTTCTTGAAAATTAATTCAATATTAATGCCAAAGTACATCCATCAAAGCACATCAAGCTGCGAAACCAATCAGTGCGCTGGAATCTTCCATCAAACAGTGTTTCATACATTAGTCCATACAAAGTATATATGTCAGACTGAACATACGTACTTCCTAAAAGACAGAAGAATTTCTGGGAAGAACTAAGTCTTAATATGTTTCTGATCTAAAATCTATAGTGGAACTTGCATTTGGTGTATCTCAATTTAAGGTTTTCCTTCATTCTACATTCAATTTCCAGGATTCCAAGTGAATATTCTCAGTGTTAAATGACCTCCATTTAACATCTTTCTCAGTTTGGTGCTCAAATCCATTGGTCCCAAGAGAAACCTTAAATGGACATTCCAATGCATGCAAATTTGTAGTATATTTATGCTCTACCTTCATACATCATTTCTCTATGGTTCATCAGTTACTGCCAAATATACATAGATATCACATGACTGCCATGTTGTTTTACATCCCCCCCCCAAAAAAATTAACAGAAAGTACATATTGTGACATGTTGACCCCTACCTCCCCAGCTGCACGTAGCGGTAGCGTAGCGCTTGCGTAATAGGCGAGTCATCACCCCACCACTCTCCCGCGGTGACGTCACCAAGGGATATCACGGTTACTAGGCAGCCGTCAACAACTCCGGACAGCGTGGCTAGCAACAAGGGTGCCTATTACGTGGCCGTATTGTCCGATCGAGGCTACATAGGGAGCAGCGAAGGCTATTCACAGTCAGTTGTACTGAGTCAGTCAGTGAGTCCTGGAGCTACCGCCGAGTTAGCCAGTAACTAGTCAGTTGTATTCTGGCATTTGGAGTGTACTAACTGTGATACTGCAGATAGCAGTAATTTGTAATTTGGGTGATTGTAAGTGCGAATGTGAAATAAAATTCGCTATACAAAATACGGCGTGAAGTTATTTGTCGCGATATAAGCCCGATACGCGACAACTGGTGTCAGAAGTGGGACCAGTAACGCAAACACGTTACACTGGTGTCAGAAGCGGGATTTGAACTTATACACATGACAAACGGGATTTGAACTTACACACGTGACGACGGGATTAGAACTTACACACGTGACCGACGAGATTCGAACTCAAGACACGTGACAATTTGGTGTCAGAATTTTTACGAGCTTAAACACGCCTCGAAGAATTTAACTTACGACTGTTTCGACTATTTTACTGCTACAAAATGGAAACAGAGCAACTGTTGGAACTCCTGCGGAAGGAACTGAGGGCCCAGAGAGAAGCTGCCGAGAAAAGGGCTGACGACAGGTGGAAAGCCTGGCGAGGGAAGATGGCCGCCATGCGAGAAGAGCTGGTCGCAGAAACGGAAGCCACCAGAGAAGAAACAAGAGCTATCCAAGAAAGGATGGAAGCCACTCGAACAGAAACAAGAGCTATCCAAGCACGGACGGAAGCGATGCGAAAAATAATGGGCACCAGCCACATGGAGATGGTGTACGCATTTAAACCCGAAAGAGACGTAAAGACGATTGCCTGCCAAGAGTTGGAGGCACATCTATTAGAAGAAAAGCCGGCCCCAGTGGACAAGAAACCTGAGGCGGAACAACAAGAAGAGGTCCCTGTAGACGACGTCGCAGTGATACCGGTCAGTGAACCTGCAGATGAATTGATGCCGATTACCCAAAAAGAGACGGTGGCCTGCCCAGTGGACGCGAAACCTGCGGCGGCACAACGAGAAGAGGTCCCGATAGTGATACCGGTCGGAGTGACGACGGCCTGCCAAGGAATGGAGGCACGTCCAGAAGAAGAAGAGCCGGCTTCAGTGCACAGGAAACCTGAGGCGGCAGAACTACTAGAGGTACCCATACAAGACGCCGAAGTAATGCCGGTCGGAGAACCGAAGAAGAAAAGGCGCAGGGACCGACATCGACGAAATATAAAGAATTCGACACGGGAAAACTGTGGACCCCGGATGAAGTTGGCTGCCCCCTGCAGGAAGACATCCCGTCGCGCGACAGTGGCACGACGTTGGAGAATTGCCTTCAAGAAGGATATTCCCCTGGGAACCTTCGGATGCCAGCGGAAAGAAGTGACCGCCACCGGAATAAAGATTACACGCTGTGTAGGACACAGGCGTATGGGACAAATCAAGAATAAGGTCGCACCGGAAATCACCAAGAAACGGACGTTCGGGAAGAGAATGTGTAAAGGCCCGGAACGCAACACTTGCATCAGGAACCGAGGCCTGAGACAGCAACTACAACGAAGAAATAAAGTGAAGGACCTAGGCGGCGGACAGCCGCGATATGTGAAGGAAGCAGACATGAGAAAAACTGCAGGACTACAGATCGCCAAGCGAGTAGCCGGATTTTCTGTCTGCCTACGACACGGCAAGGATTGGACACTGTGGAGGGGTCGACCCCCTCCAAAACGAAAAAAGAAGCAGGCACGGAAGAGGAGCCGGTAAAATAGAAGAACCGGCCTCCCCATTGAGAGTGAATGTGCCATGTGAGAAAGCGATGGATGAATGTGATCTTCTGGCGAGCTGAAAGGAAACCGCTCGAAGACGAGCTTTGTCTAAAGAGGGGAGCGGATGTAACGGACGAAGAATAGTCGCTGCAAGAAGAGTAGCCGAAACAAAGAAGATGCTGCAAGAACAGCCACCGAGGGAAAGGAACGGGGATGCACCGTTAGGCTATTCGGGACGAACAGCCTTAAGGAGGGAGCAGTGTGACATGTTGACCCCTACCTCCCCAGCTTCACGTAGCGGTAGCATAGCGCTTGCGTAATAGGCGAGTCATCACCCCACCACTCTCCCCGCGGTGACGTCACCAAGGGATATCGCGGTTACTAGGCAGCCGTCAACAACTCCGGACAGCGTGGCTAGCAACAAGGGTGCCTATTACGTGGCCGTATTGTCCGATCGAGGCTACATAGGGAGCAGCGAAGGCTATTCACAGTCAGTTGTACTGAGTCAGTCAGTGAGTCCTGGAGCTACCGCCGAGTTAGCCAGTAACTAGTCAGTTGTATTCTGGCATTTGGAGTGTACTAATTGTGATACTGCAGATAGCAGTAATTTGTAATTTGGGTGATTGTAAGTGCGAATGCGAAATAAAATTCGCTACATCAAATACATCAAGAAGTTATTTGTCGCGATATACGCCCGATACGCGACAATATTTTTCCATGACCTAACACCACACAAAATATCTGGAGCTTACAGTAAATCACACTAATGTTATTACCAGCTCAAAATTTGCATGGCCACTATTCTGGTGAGGCTTCAAGTGGGATGGAGTTCACACAGTTTCATGAATATGTCAACCGCTTTGGAAATCACTGGATACGAGGACACAAACACATGCATGATGATATCACAAGCCTGTCTTCCTTATAAACTGAGGAAAGCAGACTATTAACTATACACCTGTTATGACCAAACACTCCGGTCTGCTACTGAGATGGATATGTGCTTCTTGCACCAGTGTGGCAGTAGTTTACCGCATGAACGTAGAGGGAAAAGTGCAGGGAGTGGGGGTCTTTATGACTGCAATATTAACATTCTATATACTTACAGAGAACATCATTATTGACTTCCGTAAAATGGAGACAGAAATTTATCACAATTTATAAGAACTACTGGAACTGACCCTTTTCTGCCTCTGGGCATGCCTTGCAGCTTTTAAATCACTTTTGTAACACATTCTCAAGTTCTGAACTACATTTACAGCACACCACATCCCTACTTTTCCAATGTGTAATTGCACTTAGGAAATGGAATGAGGATTTTCTTCACTTCATATTCATATAGTATTTGCATTATTACATATTTTCTGATTGATACAATGATGAGTAGTCATTTGTGCAGTCAATGCACATAGTTAGTTAGATACAGTAGTGTGTGAAAGGTCTCCTTGAAGAGTTTCAGGTATTCATGGATGGTTGGAGATCAGTACTCAAAATATGTAGCTAAGAAAATCCTTGTGGCATTCAATAAGTTACATTACACAGCAGAAAGCAGGAGAGTGGTGTACTGTGAGTGCATGGTGAATTATTCATTTCACACTTCACTGCGCATTGCAAAATGTATTTACATGCTGTGAGGCATTTTTGGAGGCAGAAGGTGGCAAATTCTGGCACATCTTATAAAATATGGTAAATCTACATCATTTTCTTACAGCAATGAATAACTAAGTTGAATCAGTGACGCGGGCACAGAAACAATCCAGGGTAGTCCCTGAACGGGGGCAGAGTCCACTGCTGCCACATTATCAGAAGCAGCTCGGCTCTGTCTGGACTTTGTACTCTACAGTACAGTTTAACCACATTATGAGCAGTATAAGCAACAAACTATCAAATATCAAGTTAAATTAAGTTTGTGTTGCAAATACCCAGCACAACTTTTACTCGCTTATTAATGTACAGTTACAGTAAAACTGTTACCTAGAATGGCAGAATTGAGAACAGCACACACAGTCTCCCTCTGAACAGGATCCAGCTGCCAACCAACAGGGCTGCTCCAAGGGTTTGAGTATGCTAGTAGGCTAAAGGCATCCTGTGGTAAAAAATGTACCAACCTAGCAAATCACAGATGAGATCTGAGGTTTTCATGGCAGTGAAAATCAGGACTGTGGCCTTTAGGTATGACACTCTGTAGTTTTGTGCGTCATTACCAGTGTTTTCAAGGAACCTGCCACTTTGAATTTTAGGGTGGAAGTGAGCCACACTGGGATGTACATGGGTAAAAGACTGGAAACAGGGAACATACAAGAGGTCATAATGGTGACAAATTTCAATGAAGGCCTTGAGAAAGAGCACTTTTCATGGACAGCTGTGAAAGAGACAACTTTCAACACACATCCAAACTTGGCTCACTTCTACCCTGAAGAAGGTGGCAGCAAGTTCCTCTTGAACGCTGATAACCACTTATGAAACTACACTGTCATAGTTGAGAAGACCACAATCTTAAAGCAAGTCACACCTACAACACAAAAATTAGCCAGATGTGGTGTACTATGGAGAACAGCTATGTCATATATTACATTGATTTAATCAACTTGGAAAGCCTACATAAAAGTGGTTAATAGTTTCAAACTGAATGGTTCAGATCTATAACAAACACTCTAGACATGCAAATATCATACCTGTTATACAATAAGTGAACTACTTCAACTTGCATCAAGTGATATTTGACAGCAGTCACCCAAACAGGTGAGCATCCTTCAGCTGTTAAAGTATGCCAACAAGTAAAACATGAAAGTAGCTCTATTAAAACTATGGAATGTGACAGCAATGACAAAATGCCTATGATGTGATACAAAATATCAGCTATGTATCACACTATGTTGCAATACCATTACACTACAATGCTGATTACTGTTCTGTGCTGACTTCCATTATGCTTTCCTGCTGAGGGTTTCTTAGAAACATCAATGCCAGGCATGGGGAGCTGGTGGGGAGAAGCCACACAGACAGACAGATAAAGAGACAAACAAAGAGTGAAGTATCAACAAAATCCTGAGGCATACATCTGAAAGTGGAAACAACACACACAGGAAATTAATTCCAATTCTACGTCAACACAAATACTATCATTTGAAGGGATTCAAAGACAGAAGTGAATGTCAGTTTTGTTGTCATTACCAATGAATGAGAGAAATTTGTTCTGTATAGAGGGGTGTGTACAAATAATGTGAAGTAATAGGTTATCTTTATGGAACTTCAATTTGTGTGAAGTTACTTCACTGATGCAATTTTGTTGAAATGCCAGTGATATGCCATCCAATTACACCATCAATGATGCAAGCTGAAGATATGTAGTAATAGAAACATGAGGTAATGAAAAGATGCATGTGACTGTAATGCTGACATACAGACAGCAAATAGCTACCACCAAATGTGATACCGAATTTGTCATGTCTGTGATTCATACAATGAATACTGACCTTATGTTCATACCTGGAGGAATAACCTCACAAAGATAAGACTTTTAAAGATTATTTGAAATGACTGTATTCCAAATGGCTCTTGGCAGGGACCCATGTTCTGACACAAACTGGGACAATGAAGGAGCCCTGTGTAGAATGCTGTGGCAGTAGATCAGGACATGTGGCAATGGATCTCTTTGGAAGTGATAGTCACAGGGTTTAAAAAGCGCTGCATAGCTTATGAAATGGATGCAAGGGAGGACAAAGAGGTTGGGAATGTTGCCAGTGAATATGAGAGAGAAGATGGGAATTGTGACAACAACGCAGCTGAGACAGACAACTGAAATGAAACAGTGAAGACTTGTGAAGCACAATAAAAGCCAATAATACAAATATTACGTTTCTGGACATTATCCATCATCCTATTTTCATCTAAAACACCATCCTGTATCTAAAAACACAACATTTCAGAGACTGGATTCTGTTTCCGTCTGCAGGTAAAACCTACTAAGTTGGGCCCAATCAACAGAGCTAGTCCCTATCTCCAGACACCTGTACCAACACCAGATAGGGTATACAAGATAAGCACAGCACAAACCATTTGCAAGAGCTAAGACAAGACATTAAAATATTAAAAATTCCACATGTATGAGACCTTGCACTAGAGAACTATCAGAAGAGAAGTCATCACTGGAGAGACAAATTTTCCATATGGTACCAAAACAAAAAACACAAATTTTCCCATTCAATCTGTGTTGGGTGGAGTTGTAGCTTTTGACTTATGCTGTGATAATGGAGTCCAGATGGGACAGATATTCATGCTGGGTTGACTGATTGCATGGTCCATCAGACATGTATGCGGTGTTTGGTCCAATCTGCAAGACTTTCGCTTCATTCCACCATATTTTGTGGCCTTCTCCATAAGCATGTTGGGCCAATAACTTAACACAGGAAATGAACTCAATAAATCTTAGGTATAAAACATTTTCTAATATTTATTTTCTTTTGCATGATTGTACAAAGTGTACAAAATTAATTCATAAAATTACTTAACCTGTGCAGACATGTTTTCTAGTGCTGGGTTGTCTTACATTTGGAATCACCTTCTTTTCAGGTAAATACTGGAGTACATTTAAATGGAATGTGAAAAGTGGCTAGTGTTAATATAATGAAAAAAAATTGCTCTACTATAGGAAATTCTAGTTCTTGCCTCAGTTCATGAAATCTTTCAAATTCTTGTCTTGATCTGTCTCAAACTGAAAAAGTCATTCTCACACATGCATAATTTATACACATTATATTTTGTCTTACTTCAGGAACCTCTTGGGAAACAATTTTTATAATAGTAAATACATTAATAACAGTACAGTTTTCAGTAATGTATTTTCTTTCAAACATATATAAGTAAAATACTGAGCAGGAATAGCAAACATTTCTTTAGTAACACCATTTACTAGTTAAAGCCCCTCACTTAAAATCTGATTGCTTGCCCCTTATTACAAGGGACATTCGGGGATGAATATGACCTCTCAGAACCAGGTGGATGCTCAAGCATCTGTAGAAAGACTCAGGGAATGATACATACATATTATAAAGATGCTGGCACATATATAGTGTATCTAATTTCTGTTGTTGGATAAAGGGAATGTTATTGAGAGCAGATTTAGACACTGGAATGGCTTCCTGAGTGGTGGGGTGGGGGCTCTGAAACTACCCAATTGCCAACAATGAAATACATTCCTATATTCAATATATGGCAACAGCCTGCTCAATCAGAAATTTCCTTTGATCAATTTGTATCTTTATAGGTCTTGCAACTTTCCTTCCTCCATGGACTACTTCAAAGCTCTTTCAGGAATACAGTTTTCACCATGTAGTCATGTAGTCCAAACAACTGTTTACACCACATTCCACTAACTCAAAGTTAGTCAAAAATGGCTGTATGATGTAACATTTGTAATCTCTACTACTTTCACTTCTTTCTCTCAGAGTGAAACTTCCATTACTGATCTCATAAAACATGATTCAGTAGCTCCAAGCCTTATTTTGTAATTTCCAGTTACTCTCCAAACTTCTGATCCATACGATAAAAACATTTTGCTGTTGTCTTCCACAGTTATGAGTGTCCTCAAGAGGTTTAATTTTTCAAGATGATTATTGCTGTGCCATTTATCCTTTGAAAGTTGATTAATTTACTCTGTTTCCAAGTTTCTTTAAATACAATATCTGATACCATAAGCATCACAATTATTTCACTCCCTACTACAGTGTCTATTCTTATTTGTTTACAATACATCATACTGGAATAACAACTTTAGAGACTTCACTCCTGTTATCAGTAGCAGACTATACTCTGCCATATATCAGAAAATGAGCGCATTTGGTAAGAATTATACATATTAAATGACAAAATAACTGCTTTTAAAGGACAATAAATTGTATATCAGGAGAAGTAAATAAATGAAACTGTAGACAATGTGTTGAGGTATGGTCTATTCAAACTTTCTAGCCCCTTCCTCCCATGGGAATAATGAAGTCCATTTCTGAGGTGGTGAGACCAATGAGGTAAATCATATCCCAAGTCATGATGACAACAATGATGATGATGGTGGTGATGGTGGTGATGATGATGATGATGATGATGATGATGATGATGATGATGATGACGACGACAACGACGACGACGATGACGATGACAACTTGTACAGAAGAAGCCTAGCTAGGACTGGATAACAGCTTGTAGACAATGACAGTGCCTGGTATTTCTCACATTAAAAAAGTTTTATCTTCATCATAGTTTAGAGCAGGGAAAGGTAAGTGTATTGGACCTGACTGGTCCCAAATTCAAGATCTTTGACATGCAAGTCCATTTACTGCTAAACAGCCAGATCCATGGATGAGAGACAACAGAACTTTTAAATGTGTCTGCAATTTGAAACCATGAGATGAAATATGGCTTGACACATGAACCCAATACCTCCAGAATAAAAAGCAGGTATTCAGTTTCTACTGTGCAGTGAATGTGGTGTGAATTTGGTTTCTGAGCACAAAAACTTACTTTCAGGATTTCACCATGAAGAAAAATACTTTCTGGCATGCTAACAATTTATATTCTCTTCCTAAATCCAATCAACAATTTATGAACTGATAGTGATTATGAACTTTCCTTTGCAATGAAAAGAAAGCTCTAGAATTCTGTTATCAATTCCACACATCTTTACCAAATGCAATAAAACCAAGAATATTTGAAACCTATTTATGTTTATTCATTAAATATGCACATAATGAATTACACAAATGCAATCACAACACTAAATATATCGAATGTCACTATGTTGTATCACCTATTTTGAAGACCACATAGCCAGTATGTGGTATTTTCCTTAGACCCTTGAGGGATCTTCTACAGTGATGCCTTAAGAAAGGACATAATTTGTTCCCTTTCTACCCGGTATCATTCACGATCATTGCGGTCATTCTGCCATTCAATGCATTATAATTCAGTATAAAATTGTTAATGGGGAATGTATTGCAACCAAATTTTATGTACCTGAAGCATTTTTTTGTTGTTTTCACTCTTTCCCTGCTCTTGCCTGAGATGTAGGCTCATGTTGTACAGTTCACGACCAAACTCCAACATCCGCTCCACAGCCGGCTTACTGCCACCACATAACTGACGGCGCGCTGATGGGGGATCCACTTCTGCAACACATAATACTGCAGTCCTGATCCTGCTGTATCCAATAGCTCTGACCATATAGCAAAGTTTGTGAATAATGAGTTGGAAAGGATTCTGAATGATGACATCATGGCCTAATTTGAGGCACTATCCCAGTACCTGCCAGCTGCAACTGAGGAAAGTGTCTCTGAGCCGCGAGCAAATTCTTTAGCCCATATTTTATACCTCCCACACTGTCTTTAGGGAGCCTAACACTCAAGATAGTAACAAGAGTAGATATGGAGCAGGCATGTGAAGTTCGATTCCTGGTAGGGGCACAATTCTAGAGCTTTACTTTCATTCCCTTATACACCTTCAATGTGTGGTGCACAGAAACAACTTCATACTACCTGTTCTTTATAGTGAATGATGAAAGTAAAGAATACCATGAACTATTTTAACAAGCCTCTTTCTATGTTGTCCATACTTAGAAGAATAAATTGTAAAAATTTGACTGCAATGCTGATATTTTTCACTCTGAAATACAGGTTCCACCCAAAATTTGAAAGCACATTTATAATCTATTATCCAATACCCATATATACAGAGTCACTGAAAAAGAATGCAAGGACTATAAAAACTTCTCACTCAAAAACTATCAAACATATCAAAATTATTCAAGTTTTGAAAGAAAGAACATAAGTTTTGGGTATGCTCAGCTGATGGTGGGTAGCAAGCGATGTTGAGAAGCTTTCGTTGACTGATAAATTGATACAACTTGTGCACGAAGCCGACTGTCAGACTTCCTAAGCCCCACTAGTTTTCCCTCCCAGTGCGAGTCAGTTTCAGGCAAAATGTGAACCATGCAACAGAAGGCTGAGTTTGTATTGTGGCATGCAGAATTGAAATCTATTGTAACAGTGCAATGTAAGTGGCGAAGGTTACATAGAGGAGAAAAAGTACAAGGTGATAAGGTTATGAATTGCTGGTTGAAACAGTTCAAATAAACAGGAAGTGTTGTGAAACAGAATCTTCAGGTTGACCAAGAACATCGGAAGAGAATGTGGAGCACATTAGACAGTCCTGTGTAAGAAGTCCTAAAAAGTCAATCACTCATGGGAGTTTAGAATTAGGGATTCCAAAAACTACCATGCAAAACGTCATTCACAAGTGTTTATGCCTTTATGCCTGCAAGAGTCAGCTGAAGCATGATATCAAACCAGACAACTGCCTCAAATGTTATGATTTTTCCAATTTAATGCTGAACAAAACTGACGACAACGAAACTTTTCTACATCAGATTTTTTTAACAGACAAGGCGACTTTTCATATGAATGGGTGCAGTAACCGGCGTAACTGCTGAATTTGGGGATCAGAGCAACCAAACAAAATTGACGTGCATTTTCATGGCTCTGCAGAAGCGAATGTTTGGTGTTGGTTGCTTTGTGACCATGTTGTAGGCCCTTTCTTTTTGCGGAGAGCACCATTACTGGAGGCACTTATCAGAATATGCTTGAAAATTATCTGTTCCCACAAACTGAAGACTTGGACAAAGAAACTGGGAATATGGTCATTTTCATGCAGGATGGAGGACCTCCTCATTTTTGCCAGTCTGTGCACAAGGCCTTAAATGAGAAGTTCCCCACTGCCTGAATTAGGAGGGGCAGACCAATCTTCTGGCCCTCCAGATGGTAAAAAGATTTGGGATATCCAGCATCTCCAGGATAGGTTCAGACCAGTAACTCCTGATACAATTCAGTGGACCTGGCACAAGATCAGATACCATCTTGATATCTGCCAAGCAACAAATGGAGCACATATCGAAACATACTAATGTAAGACAAAACTTCAGACACATCTTAGCAATTTAACGCTTGAACCAAGTTGATATGTTTAACAGTTTATGAGTGACCAGGTCTGGTCAAGGGGGTTTGTGGTGGACAAAGTGGCACTGGGGCAGGTTTTCTCCAAGTACTTCGGTTTCCCCTGCCAATCTCCATTCCACCAATTGCTCCATAATCACCCTCACCTATTATCTGGGGCTGCTACAATAGGCAAGAAGTGGCTGCAGCACAAGGGACCCCACTAGCAATAAAAGAAGGTGTTTCAAAAAGTGCTCAGGGAAATATTTAGACCTATGAGGGATGATGCAAGTGGGAAATTTTAGAACAATATATAAGTTATTTACCTCATATGGGTGAGATAAGAAAAGAATACAGACTATGGTGGGAAAACTTTGGAAAGTGGCCACTATGAAGTTCAAGAGGGTGATGTGAGAACAACATTGGGTTGGATCTGAGGAAGACAGGAAGCAAGGGAAGAGAGTGGACAGATTAGTTACTGATTTATGTCCAATGGCAGTAGTTTTCACCTTTCGGACTCCTCTACCAAAGAATTTAGTTTAAGTAGTGCAGGTCACATACCATAAGCACACTCCTAGTCATGCTTTAATTTCCTCTCCATTTGCACAAGGTCACTTACCCATATCTTCTACATCATCAAGCTCCTCTTTATCTTGCTGATGGCTACTTCCATTTTGATATCCATTAGTGGCAGGAGATACAGCTTTATTTACTAATGAATGTCCATTCCTTTCATCTTGTGGCTCCATTTCCACATCACTTTCTTCCCCTATTCCTGGTGGAAGTCGGATGACAGCTGATCCCCCCACAGGCTGTTCGCCTGTCCCTCCACTGTTCCCATTCATAGCCACATTGTTCAGGTTGTTCTCCTCGACGGTGGAGGAGTGTCCTCGGCTCCGATTATTACCGTAACTCTTAGTAGACTGTATTACTGAGGTCGGAATGGGGCTAGTAGGGTGAGGTGGTGTATTTGAGGATGATGGATGTAGAGGAGAGAAGATACATTGACCCCTGGGACAACGGGGAGGACAAACCTCAGAGTCTGATCCATTTACCATTTCTACAAATTGACGGCACTTGAGCAGAAAGAGCAAATTTTGATTGTGCTCTAATAATCCTGGATATAGACTGCTTGTTTTCTCAATGGCTTCACCCATTCGACCAGCTAAAACTAATTTCAGGATTCCTGTCAACAAAAGAAAAATTTCATTCAAATACTGTACCATATATTTCAAATATAAATTCATACATCTTGTCAATGCACGACAAGAACATGAAGTATGATAAGCATTCAATTCTTAAAACAACAGAACAACACAAGTATGAGAAACAAAGTGAATACATAAAAATACTTAGTCCTTTATAACAAAAAATTCTAAATGACATTAGTCTGCCCAATCCTATAAATATTACAAAACACTCTTATCCCTCCATACACTTTGCATATCATTGCTATAAAGACCTACAGAATGGCATGCTTGTAATTACTGTATTTACTAGACTATACAATGAGTTTCACTTACCAAAATTTTAATTAAAAACAGCGCTTCATTTAAATGAAAAGAACAAAATACGATTCTGTGATTTCTGAGAATGAAGACTTAACCCCTGTTAGAATTACACTACAGCTACCACACAAAATGTCAAAGGCTATTATGACTGAATGGTACTAATTGTTGTTGATCCCATTTCACAATTTACAAAACCATCACCGCTGGTAGTGGTGAAAACTAAAACAAACAAAATATCTGTATCCTCTTTTCAAGAAAGTGAATTTTACAGTTGACTGGTTAATTTTCCAGCTTTGTGTTTCGAGGTTCTGCATTCCGTTCTTGGCCTGAAAGTTGCGTATTATGATTGATATTTTGTGGCCTTATTCAGTTCCTCCAACCAAATTCTAGGATAGCAGCTTAAAATAAATAATTACTATTTATTTCCATATTTTTCCAAATTTACCATTCATACCATCTTTTCATTCAACAATATGGAATACAAGCAGCTGTGAAAGTGCAAAGGCAAAAAAAAAAAAGTTGTCCCCGTACTTAACTAAGCAAGCACTACGCCATGAGGGTGTAGGGGGGAGTTGATGTCTAGACCCTCATTTGCTTGACCTCAGCACTAGTTGGAGGTGAGCAGGCAGCTTCATGCCCCAGCAGCATTACCCCCAGTACCCAATGCATATGAGGTTGGGTGGACTCCACAGCCGGTCTGGACGACATAGACAAGTGAAAATTCTTGACCACATTGGGACTCAAACTCCGACCCCTCGGTCGTCTTGCCAGTAGCTAGTCGCTATATTGACTGCGCTATCCCGACTCTAGCTGTGGAAGTGGAGTTGTATAAAATAAGGAAGAAAGAAATTTTCTGGAAACTTTGAATGAGACAAACAACTCATGCAGTAATTGCCATTTCGCAAGGTGGGAGGTAGGGGGAGAAAGGAAAATCAACAAAACTACATCAAAACAAAAAATGTATTTATATATAGCAGGCATGTCCAACTTCAAACAGGTTGTGATTGACTTTTTAGTGTCAAAACTGCCAGTGATCTACCACCCACTCCTATGGTCGTACCTCGCTTTAAGCAAAAATAGTGGTAAAAATAATATGACAGATGATGTTTGTTGTAAGAGCAACATACATTGACAGTACAGAAAAATAGGAATGACTAATACATATTTCCCTTCAAAATCGAAATATAATCCTATTATATTACAAGTGAATTTACATGCTTTTTACGTATAATTTCCTTATAGGCCTATGAGATCGACCAAAAATTGTCCCGCGATCTACACGTTGGACATGCCTGATATATAGGGTCCATATAATCCTATGTTACTTATCTGTGTGTTAACAGTTTACAGTTATTTTTGGCTCCTGTTCAGTACCATGTGTATTCTGTAGAATTAAACTCTTCAGACTAAAAGCCATGTGTAACCACTTACTTTGCCTATTTTTTATTGATGTTATTTCTTCATCAAAGACCTGTCCAGTACCATGGGCAAAGGATTCTGCTGTGGCACAATACCCATGATGAACAAGATAAGTAGATACCATCCTGCAAGATGAATACATCTTAACATGTATCCAACATCACAAAGGTAAAGTTCTCCTTGTGCTTAACTAATTAAGCACTGCACCATGATGACGTATGGCACAGTGGATGTACAGATGTACAGATCCACATTTTCTTGACCTCGGCACTAGTTGGAGGTGAGTGGTCACCTTCACATCCTGGCCGCTTTACTCCCGGGGAAAGAGCCCCCAGTAACCATTGTATAGGAGGTTGGGAGGACCCGAGAACCAGTCTGGACAACAATGAGAAGAGAAAATTCTCGACACTACTGGGACTCAAACTCTGACCCCTCAGTTATCCAGCCATAGCCAGTTGCTATACCAATAATGGCCACACCATGTTGAAAACACCGGTTCTTGTCCAATCCAACATCATAACAAAGCATAAATTACATTACACTATGTAATTTATGAAGACAATAACATTTGTTAAATGGCATAAACAGTTATACAAAAATATATCAAGTATGCAATTACAGGATATGGCAGGGAGAATGAATGATTCAATAATTCAGCAAGCAGAGCACTCTGCTTACTGCCTGCTTCTTGCTTGGCTTACTCTTCATAACTGAAGATGGATGCAGTACATGCCTCTGGGATCAGAGAACTTCTACCAAACTACATGGTATTACATTCTTCACAGTCTCAGCTATGAGAACACCAAATCATGCCTGTCTACTGTCCACATATGCATGGGAATTGCAGACAGTGTGTAGCATATCAATCAGGCATACACTGGAAGATGTGATTATAACATGAGCTTGGACACTGCTTTTGGTGAACATTAAATAGGTACTATAATACAAATAACTTTCTTATAATAAAATGGTTTGATGGAATATGTTAAAATACATAAAGTGTGCTTAATAACTACAACTTTTAATTAATACATATATTTTTCTCTAAGGTGAATATATAACATTCACCTTAATATTATTCTCCAATTTCCATCTCAATTTTTAAAGCAGCTGCTTGGTAAAGATAACTAGTTAAACTAATTGGACAAAGGAAGGTACATAAACATCAGCAACTTACTTATGTAATGTGGCTTGCCACTCGCCTTTGTAGTCGGGCACTGGGTACTGATTTATAGTAAGTTGAGTCCGAGCTCTCAGTTCAAGCATCATGTCTTCTATGTCAAATACAAATGGTGCTTGTCCAAAGTTGGCATCCACTACTTCTCCTGGTGTCTGAAGCCCAACCGTTGGATACAGGTTTGGCTATGAAGAGAAGAGTAATATTACTGTTGTGTCCAACATAACCATAACTTTATAATATGTACAATGTGACTACGTGTCAAAATACTGTATTCAGTCCTGACATCATCAAGATCAGGAGAATGTGAGGGACCCAAAACATCATGACTGAATTGGTGGGTCTGCCCAAATCCTTCATCTGAAAAAATACTGCATGGATTTCAATTAATTTAGTTCTGTAGACTGTTTAACAATGCTTTCAGTGATGAGACTATATACTGTAGATGGATATTGATGATATCTGGTATAATGAGCATACACTAAAGCAGCTGGCTGAATTTAATTTAGGTAAGTCATATCCACACTTTACAGGAATTCCAAAACACATACCAGTTTCTCCAGAATGAGTCCTTATATAAAAGTATTGCCATTCTGGATGGTCTTGGTTATGGAAGATGCCAGCATGCTCTGTCGTCAGTACTTTGTACACCACTGCATGATACAGTCCCTTCATTTGGGCAGAGCTACTCGTCAAGGGAACTGGTAAGATAAGGTAAAGTTGTCCCTAAGCTTAACTCTTTGACTGGCGCGGGCGTGTTTTAACGCCCGGACGATGCCAGCCGTTCCCTGGCGTTGGCGTGTTTTAACGCTTTGAAAATCTCGTCCCTTCTTTGCTCTCTTGGCACTCATCAACCAAAGACATATATATGATAGTTTTTGTGCATGTTTGTAAAGAACCCTTGTAAACTTTGTGGGGGTCTATATTACTGTCAGAACCCTCTGAGAAGGTAAAGGTCAGAAAATATTTCACATTCATTCAGTTCACTATAGCTTCTTGCAGCAAGTGTCTTCGTGTTCCTACAGACCAGCTGGAAAATGTTGTGAACGAGATTTTTTCTGATGATGATAGTGGCGATGAAATAATGATTCCTGAATTGGATGAAGTTGATAGTGACAATAATACAGTGATAGGCAATGATCCACAAGACAGTAATCATGAACATTTACCTACCACGAGTGTGGTGCCTGACACGCCCATCTCATGAACGTACGGAGACATTGTACCCCCAATACTTCCATTTGCTAATAGTTTCGGGATCAAAATTGATATAACACATAAAATGCATCCCTTTTCATGGATTAAAATTTTTTCTGGATGACGACTTGGTAAATCACATCACAACTGAAACCAATCGCTATGCTCACCAGCACTTCAACACACATGAGTTAGCTCCTCACTCTCGAAAACACAATTACAATTATGTCACATCAGATGAAATCTGGACATACTTAGGAATTGTGTTCATGACAGGAATCGACAAACGCCCTGAAATTGAAGAATATTTGTCCACTAGGCCCATATTTCACACCCATGGTTTGGACAAAACATGTCTTTGCAGTTGAATAGTTTCATTCTATTCAAAAAGAACACAACAAACGAAAAATACAAGAAGAGAAATTACAGATTCAAAGATTTTATATTGGACTGTGTAGAAAAATGACTGAACCAAACAAACAGTGTGGAGAGGGAGAAAAGTCAAGGAATGAAGTGGATGACGAATCTATTGGGTCAGACTAGAGTGCAGTCACGCCTCCGCCCTCGACCTTGAAAAGACCACCAGTGAAAGAGCCAGCAAATCGTCTAGAGGGTGGCTTGAAAATTCACAAAATGGTCCATGTTCCTAACAGTAACAATAAGAAGAATGGTGCCCTGAGAAAGTGTCGTGTGAGTGCTAATCACAAGGTTAGAAAAGAAACAAGTATCATGTGTGCAGGCTGTGGTGTGGCTCTCTGCAAACTTTCATGTTTCAATGTTTATCACACGAAGAAAAACAAAGAAAGAGGTGTGGAAAAGCATTTATTGCATAAAATATTGTATTTTAATTAGTTCCTAAAAATTTCGTTTTTAAAAACCAATTTTTGTTGAAGTTGTTTAGGAAAAAGTAACAACATGCATTTTAGCGACATAAGGTTTAAAGGGATTGCCAGGACAGGGATGGGATTTAAATACCCTTCGCGCCAGTCAAAGAGTTAATGCCATGAAGACATATGGGGGAGTGGAGGTATAGCTCCACCATTCTTGACCTCAGCACTAAATGGGGGTGGGTGGTCAGCTTCATGCCCCACCGACTTTACCCCCAGGGAAGGAGTCCTTGATACCCACTGATGTGATGTTGGGTGGGCCTCGGACTTAGTCTGGATGTTGTGGGAATAGAAGAACCCTGCATTGTCAGGAATCAAACCTGGTCCATCCAGCCCATAACCTGTTGCTACACCGATTTTGCTATCCTTGAATGAAAGAATGAATGTATAAGGGGTGGGCCTTCTTGGCCCTTGCACCGCAACCACAGTGATCTATTATGCCTCTTCTGATTATAACCTCAACAATCCTGCGCTTCGAATGAAGCATAGGATTTTGTACGTGGGGACGTTGAAATAGTCACTTGGTTCCATAAAATATTGACCCAAGTGATGCAATCTTAAATAAGCTAAAGCCTCACATTCACAAAGGATATGTGTGGCTGTTTAATTTTCTTCTTGACACCTCTCACAAGTTGGACTATTACTTAGTCCCAGTTTGAAGAGGTGTCCTTAGTCCCAGTTTGAAGAGGTGTCCTTTGAGGTGACAGTGTCCTGTAAGTAGTCCTACCACCCATCGTAGCTGGTTCCTGTTTAACTTCAATAGTTCCTTCGCTCTTTTAGTAGAGGGTCCTTGTATGAGTCCCTCTGCTTGCCTGAGTCCAGTCACGGATCCCCAGTATTTCTTGTGCTTCATGTTTATCCAGTCCCCGATTGCCTTTCTGGTGACTCCTACAGAGATGCCACAGGCTGGTTCAGGTCCTATGAATGGATATTCAGCTCCAGTCTTGGCCAATTGGTCTGCTATTTCATTTCCAGCAATACCCTCATGCACTCATATGGCACGCATATCAGTTGTGCACTGTTATGTTTGGCCAGTTCCATGAGCGTTTCCCAGACCAATTTTGAGTTGATCTGGTGTTTGTCAAGCACTTTAAGTGCAGTTTGGCTGTCGGATAGAATGTAGATGTTCCTATTTCTGTAGTACCTATCTAGATTCTCCATAATACATGCCTTAATGGCATATACTTCTGCCTGGAATGCTGTCGTGTACTGCCAGAGGCTGAAACTAAGTGTCCACCTCGTGCCATAGCAGAACACACCAGCTCTAGTGCCCTTATTTATCTTGGAACCATCTCTATACCAGATCAGTCCCCCTTTTCTATTGGGCCGAAACCCGTCTTCCCATTCACCCCTGTCAGGAAATCTGACTGTGAAGGGTTTTTCATATACATGTCTCGGTATCATTTTGTCAGACCCCATTTGTAATATGGGTTCTTTTTTCATGTCCTGAGTTATATATGCATGTCTGAAACTATCGGATTTAGGTTTCCATTGATCACTGCACTGGAGACGGTAGATTCCTGCCCTGGCCTCTGCCCTCTGCCTCCAACTGTAGATGCAGTGGGGGGAGTCCAAGGAGTGTCTCTATGGCAGCTGTTGGAGATGTTTGAATTGCTCCTGTGATACCCAAGCAAGCCAACCTTCGCAATTTGCTAAGTTCTGCCTTGCTTGTCTTGAGTTTAACTCTGGGCCACCATACTGTGGTGCCGTATGTAGTTATGGGTCATACAACTGCAGTGTATATCCAAAGCACAACGTGCGGCTGCAGTCCCCAAGTTTTACCAAACATGCTTCTGCATGTCCAAAAATCCTTATAGGCTTTGTTAATGACCTTGTCCAGCTGCTTTTTCCATGTCAGTCCCTTGTCTAATACTAGACTAAGGTACTTGAAATCGCTGGAGAGCTGGATATTCTTACCGAAGAGGGTCGGTTCCTTAAGGCCCTTTATATTTCTCTTCCTTGTAAACGGTATAATTACCATCTTATTGGGATTGATGGAAAGGCTTGTTCTTTCACACCATCATTGGACTGTGTACAGAGCTGTTTGAAGACACTCTGATACTATCGAAATGAATTTTCCATTTAAGAGGATTGCAATGTCATCAGCATATCCTACTGAATAATACCCATCATCATTAAGTCCCCACAGGAGATCGTCAACGACCAGGTTCCACAGCAGAGGCAAGAGCAGGCCCCCCTGCAGACACCCCCTAGACGCGTACACCCCCAAGGTCTCTCCCGATAATGTAGCAGCTATGGTTCTGCTTTCTAGCACAGCACTGATCCACCTGCATATTGCAGGCTCTGTGCCATGCCTTCCAGCAGCCTGTTTGATTATATCAAATGAGGTTCTATGGAAAGCTCCCTCTATATCAAGGAGTGCTCCTAAGGCAATATCCTTGTGTTCAATCGCACTTTCTACGCGTGTTTGCTATCCTTACTCCTAACTGAACTGGTATGCTTTCCAAAATTTCCATGAACCTCCAGGATGCCTCTCCTCCTGTCTACATTGGATGGGACACTGACACAAAGACTGACTTGGATTGCGTTATATTTTCAAGTTGGGGATGTTTAGCAGACAGGACTCTTAAGATGTGACTAATGCCAGGTTTTGCTCTTCAGAAGGTAAGTGGAGTGCTGATAGCCGCATTCTCTTTTTCTAAAACATGGAAATTTAAGAGCACAGCTTCCAGTCAAATGGCTTTTCTTTTTGTTGGACAAGTCCCCGAGGGGATCTCCAGAGTGTATATTTTTATTGCTTTATTTTCTGGGCTTGGAGATAGGAAGCCATGGGGGACACATCAGGTATGTTCCTACAACCTGCCCCTTATCTGAGTGCAAAAGATTAGTACACAACACAAACTACAGTTCTCTTTGCTACGTAAAATTTCTTTCCTGATATGGTAAATATTTATCAAAATACAAATAATTACATAAATAAACACATTTCTGCCTCTATGCAATGTGATCAGTTGTGCAACAACACATTTGTCTGTAATAAATGAACATCAAGGCCTATGAAGTACATAAGCTGGCAAAAACACATCTCGAAATGCAACATGGCAGAACATTTATGAGGAAAGTAACAAATGTGATTTTACTGAAAAGAATGCTCCACAAGAACATTCTTATGGATGCATCTATACACTCTGTTCTACAATATTCATTACAAATGTCGGGCTTTTCTTGAATATTTCTTATCAAATATATCATTCCTGCCATCATAACATAGGATTCTAGTGTCAAATAAACCATATTTTCCTTTTGGCAAAGTAATAATTTTAATCTCTTTGCTGAATCCATTACAACATCATGGGAACCATTTCAAAAAGTCTTCAGTACTGTAACATAAGATAAAACTGAACACACTCACTGGTAAATCTGTAAATGCTATCCCCAGATTATGTCCATTTTTTGTATAGAAACAAGTATTGTCAATAAGATTAACTCCACAGCCTATAACATCGCCTGTTGTGAATGTTGGCCCATATGGCTGGCCTGTTCCGGAAGAACAAAATGAATGGCCGTCATCACCATGGTAGCCATATGAGTGTTTGTCCCAACCTACAAGCAAAAGACATTATCACAGTTATTCTTTTCATACTTACTTACTTATGGAGCTGAGCCCTTCTTGAGGAGAAGCCAAATTTGCAGCTACTCAAGAATTTCTCAGCATTTTATGGAACCCGAAGGTTCATCACCGTGTTCACAAGAGCCCTCCACTGGTCACTATCCTGAGTCAGATCTATCCAATCCATCCTATCTCTCTAAGATCCATTTGAATATTGTCCACCAACCTACGCCTTGGTCTTCCCAGTGGTCTCCTTCCTTCTGGCTTTCCCACCAATATCCTATATGCATTCCTCATCTCCCCCATTCGTGCTATATGCCTGCCCACGTCATCATCCTTGACTTGATCATTCTAATTATACTTGGAGAAGAGTACAAGTTATGAAGCTCCTCATTATGCTGTGTTCTCCAGCCTCCTGTCACTTCATCCCTCTTCGGTCCAAATACTCTCAACACCCTGTCTCAAACACCCTCAGTCTATGTTCCTCCCTTAATGTCAGAGACCAAGTTTCACACCCATACAGAACTACAGGCAAAATTATAGTTATGTATAATCTAACATTTATGTTTTTGGACAACAGACGAGGACACAAAAGGTTCTGGACTGAATGGTAGCAACCATTACCCAAGTTCAATCTCCTCTTAATTTCCTCCTGAATCAGGTTTTGATTTGTTATCGTCATTCCCAAGTACTTGAACTGTGCCACATTTTCAAAACATCTCTTTCTTATCATTATGTCATGATTTTGCCCTGCATTTTGGTGACGAGACAGCAACATATACTTGGTTTTCTCTGTGTTCACTCTTGACCAACCTCCTTACATGCATCAATTAAAGTTTGTGTGTTTTTCTTCATGGTATCTATGTTTTCACCCATAGATTCACACCAACAGCATAGACCAACAGCTGATGTGTCCCATTTAATTTCAATCCCACCTGGTTTCCCTGGACCTTCCTAATGGCATATCCTAAAGCAAAGTTGAAAAGGAGTGGTGATAAAGCATCACCTTGTCTTAGACCATTCTGGAATTCCTAATTCCACATGCATGATAAAGTCTGCAGACTACTATAGTGATGTTCTCAAAGCAGTGGCCACAAAGAGTTGTCTTCTGGGATATAATTACATGTAGACTTGTGGAAGCCAACCAACATTCTTGAGAACCACACTGCCTCCATCCACAGGGTTGAAAAGTATGTCAAGCAGAGAAGCTGTGCTTACTGCCTGCTTCAACCCTGAAGATGGAGGTGTCATGTTCCCCTTTGACCCTGAAGATGGATGTAATGTGACCTTCTGGAAGGCTGGCTAACATTAGCCAGACTACGCAGTGTTATATCCCAGAAGACAAAAACTCTTTACTGTATTTCCTCTATCTAATGCATTCATGTAGAGCTTTTTGGTGCATTCACATTGAAAAGTTGAAAATGTGCCTGTCAGCTTCACCATGTTTGTCTACAGTAACAGCCTGAGAACTACTCAGCAGGTTTCCAGTCTGATAATGGGGAGATTTACTGAAGTCTGTCAACACATTCCAGCTTTTAATAACATCATACAATAATAAAGGACACTTTAGATGAGGAACTACATTGATGAATGCATCTCAAATGTAACTAGTTAAATATTTCTATGCGTCAAAAATGTACCGAACAACATTTGTAGAGAAAAGTGAAACATTTTATGTCCAGCACACATTCTGCATAAGTCTTACCAGTTTTAAAGGTATGAATGCACCAGAACTGTTACACTATGTACATATTTCCTCATTTGTTTCTGTTACCATGCAATGGTATACTGTTGTGGATTTTTCAACACAGTACAAAAACGTAAATAAATATAGGAATAAAAATGATGCACTAAAGTTACAATTCTAAACTTGTAATTCAAGTTGGCTTTGAGGTTCTCACAATGTTAACTATGAACAGTGCTTATTCTGGGATGTGATAGTTAGTACAAAAGAAGATCGCCATCTCTAACCCAGAGGATGGAGGCAGTATGTTCCTCTGAAACAATGGTGACCTTCTACTGGACTACAGGGTATCACATACCAGAAGACAGTACAACTATTCCATAATTTAAACTCCCAATTTTAATTGATTCCAGATACACTGGTGAAACTACATGTCAAGAAACTTATGTCCTCCCACAACTTTCCTTCCTCCTTATCATAGACAACTACTGGCACCTTTCATTTTACATAAAAAAGTGCTGCATGTACAGATATTGTTACCAGGAAGCCTATTCATATTGACTCCTTGAGCACTGAGTCCAATACCCATGTAGCCATCTCTCCCCTTACTGACTATCTTCACTTCAAAATAATAAAGACCACAGGCAGCTGGGATGGGATGTGTGGCTCGGACACTGGCGGCATCTTTGTGAGTTTTACCATGACCTAAAGAAAAGAAAATCGTTTTCAAAATACAATGAAATAAATAATGGGACTAGCTATTTAATTTAATATCTACTGCGCACAATTCACGCTCAGTGCCTCAAAAGTCTATAAAATCACACACTAATTATCCTAAAGAACACCTAAAATTGTTCTTTAATTATACCTTCACCATAAATAACCCATGTCCCTTTACAACATGTTTGGCTCTCTGACTACCATTGGGTGGATACCTCCATGGAAACAAAGAAATACTGTTCTTTGCACTGAAACCCTTTATGTAAAATTAAATATCAAATTGATGGTGTCAACAACAGGAAATTAAAATTACATACTAACATACTGTGTACATTCAAGTCACATTTATAAGAGTTATATCTTTCATATTACTGTTATAATGTCCTCACACAGTAACTGAAGTATTCACCAGATGATAGTCTAATGTTTGAAATGCACTGTTGGAGAATTAAGCTCATGAGAAACATACTGTTAGATGGTAAAGGTATAACTGATAAACAGTACAGTTTATAACATAGGATGACTCAAACTAAACATTTAATAAGTTCTGCAAGTCACTACTTAGAAACTGTTGAAGGGAAATAAAATTTCAACACCTGAAACCATATTGTATTATCATCAAACATTTACATATGAAATAACAATCAGACACAATTATCATACAGTGTTTCCCAACCTGAGATGTTTCTACCTTTCAGGTAATCTTCAGGAGCCCTTTTATTGCATGAGATATTAAACATATCCTAAAACTCTTAAAGCTTTATCTGAATAATATAATTTCCTAAAAATAAATTACAAGGTAGCTTAAAATTTCAAAATTAATTAAAACCTGCAACATTAATAACCAGCAGCTGAGGTGATAAGGGACTATAAATCACCCAACCTGACAGTGTGATGATGATGATGATGATGATGATGATGATGGTGTTTAAAACATTTCATATCCTATTAAAGAAAAATGTATTTTCTATACTGTCATATCTGTCTTGAACAATACTACAGATCCCATACAGTTAATAACTTAGAAACAAACCAACCATAATCTATTTCTGCTGAAGTCTATTTTGTGAGAGCTCATTTCATAAATTTTTATTTTCAACACAGACCGAAATTTCTGAGAATACTAAAGGTGGTACATTCAAGGCTGCTTATTTTTACATGCTAATATAAAACTAGAATCCTTCAAACATTCTCAATCAGTATATAATTCTTGTCTGCTGGAGGTGTTCCATATTATTTTTACTTTCAGATATATCAGAGAATAAGAGTCAGGCATTCACTGGAAGAAAATGAAGATACAATGTAGTCCATTGTTCCACTATGACCATGTTTCATCTCCTGAGGTACTTTCCTGACATTTGCTTGGAGAAACTGAGAAAACCCATGAAAAAGTTAATCAGGATAGTTGATTTCTAGGCTGAGGGTTGGATCATTTATTGACCCATCCCAGACTCATCTCCCTATAATCTCTTTAACGACCAACTTAAACTCCTTTTTTGAAACTTGACAGTTCATTTGAGCAGTGTGAAAATAAGCCAAATCAATTTCATTCTGTAGTATGAATTTTTGGTTAATGCAGGCTGGTCCATACTGTGTGCTGCATTATATTCTTCTAAATGAAAAAGTGAAAAATTTCACAAAATTTTATTTGGAATAAGATCATGAAGACATGACAATACTTCTGTCTTGGATTCCTTCAGAAGCTTAATTCTATAAACAGAGGTCATCAGGAATTCCATGTATCAATGAAATCTTGCTTATATGCAATTTATTTAATAATGCTGTCAATAGCTCAAACTGTACAGCATCAAATGATTTGGTGATTATGAATATGCTAACAAGCTGCAAAGGATGTGGAAGAAGTGGTTGTAGCATAATTTAAGGTGTTATCCTAGTGTCACACTGGAGGGACTGAGAAAAATCACTAAAAAAACTCAGTCAAAGGTCGCTTGTCTACAGGCCAAGATTTGAACCTGACACCTCCCTCACCACTTGAGCTAAGTTACTTGGTAACTTTCTTTTGGGATATGATGCCATCTTATTTGACAGTGAGTGCCATATCATTATACAACTTAATGATCTATTTCTCTGTAAGCAAATTTTTTAAGATTTGCATGGCAGTGAATATTCATGTTGTGGTCTTCTGGTTTATTACATCATGTTGTAGTCTGGGAGGCAGCTTCTCCTTCTGAAATGATGGTACTCCCTACCAGACAACACGATGTCACAACCCTGATGACCAAATATGAAGAATTTCTCTGTATGTCCTCTATCACAGCTTCCACTCAATACTGTCATTTTATTAAATGTTAACATATAAAAGAAGCTCTAATACAAATTTCATATGCCTGTGTTTATGATTCCTCCATACCAAATGGTTCATTAGTTATCTCAATCAGATGTTCAGATAAAAGCCACAATCATGTTATGTACTGCAGAATGCTCTTTTTCAGCTGGTATAGTCACATAAGCATACCAGCAAACAGTTGGTGCATACCAACAGAATTATCAAAAGTCAAAGTAGCACATTTGCCTGTGCATTGTACATTTTGACATTCAGACTTTTAGGTCACAAAGACATAATTAATGCCCACTTTCCAAATAATACAAAAATACACTAATATGCTAAAAGCTTACAATTGTCCTTAAAACAAATATAACATTAAAAATGCATTTATTTGTGGGTGAGACGTGTTTGGAAGGGTGGAGCTTACTGGGTGTGGATAATCCAATTATTCAAGGGAGGACTATTGTGACATATTGATTTCTGTTTTACAACTTCCATGTACTTTGCTCAAACCTAGGTTTCTATGACATAATAGAGGCTCTGCATACTCACAATATATCCACATTCATCATTGCTACCATATCATCTAACATTAAGTTCTCTTAAATAAGAAAAAATAACAGCTGACAACAGAAAGGCATATCTATCTACTGGCAGAATTAGTACTACATGCAACCAGTGCATGCAGTTCTCTATTTGTGGACTGTGTTACCATAATTTCACACAGATCATTACAATTTTATTGCAGAGAGAGAATATTCCATCTAAAATGTAATAAATGAGTGAGTTATTCTCAGTGTTCCTGTCAGAGAAGTAATCTAATATTAACATTTTAATGTATACATAAATGTGATACATAGTAATGCATATTATCACTACAGTACTAAAAAAATAATTTTGGGATGTGACATGTGAAAATCAGGAAATAAATAGAAACATACGTAATTTTCCATATATGACAAAAATATATTATTTCTTAAAATCCATACACAGTTTTATCAGATTACACCACACAAAAGTTTAAGTCATGTTATATTGTGGTTAGATGTCCTGATATCAGTGAACAACTTCTTAGTTGCTTAACTTGTTCATTTATTTTCAAGCAGCTTTAACTACTGAGCAGGCTGCCATAGCTATAATGCTCTAGACATGTATTCTTAAGGTACTCTGGTCGAATCTCGGCCAGGACACCAGCTACCTCGCGGTTTTCCTCCATTCCTTCCAATAAATGCCAGAGTACAGTACCTCAAATCAGACCATGACTGTTTCCTTACAAACCTTTTCCTTGTGTTGTGTAAACTTTTATGGGTTGTAGTTCAATTGACTACACCATGAACAATTTCCACTTTTTTGTGGTTTGATTATCACTATGTATAATTTCGTTTTATGACTGTTCTGTATGTGAGTTCTATTTTATGAAGTGTTCTCGTGTATATTTTGATTTAATTGTGATTTGTTCTACATCCTTGGCTTGGCCAAAAAGGATTTATTGAATTTAAATAATAAATGAAATTAAATTAAATTAAATTCACTATCATTAAATTCCACTATCATGCTCAGAGAAGTAGTTACTATAGGATTCTGACGATGGTGTATAACACACTGATATGTTGGGTTTTTGGACTTTATCCATCGTCCTGGTTTTTAAGATAAATAAAAACACGACGTTTCGGAAACTGGATCTGTTTCCGTCTTCAGGTGAAGGAAAACACCTATTCAGTTGGGTCTTAAAACCAGGACGATGGATAAAGGCCAAAAACCCAACATATCAATGCTCAGAGAAGCCCACCACTGAGCCTTCTCCTGAGACACGTCGATGGATGTCAGTGTTCGGCTCACATACGTCATGTTTCACTCTGATGAAACAAGCCACTGGAACTCATTACACAGCAGGCTGGGTAGATCCCAGAGCCGATGTGGAAGCGGTGGTGTAGCAGTAATGCTCTACATCTGTATTTAAGGAGCACTGGTTTGAACCTGGGGAGGATTACCGATTATCCTGGCAATCGACTTTGACCCAGACAACAAGGCAGAATTGTCCTCAGAAACATATGTAATATTTATCAATTCAATGCACTGCAAAAGCCAGAAGACTATACAATCTGAGTAAAATGCTATTAGCAAAAGCCAATGCAGAAAAAAAAAATATAAAAGGCTGCAGACAAATATCTAAGACATGAGTGAGATTCAAGCCAACTTCAGCATAAACAAGACACTGGAACATGGAAGCCACACAATAATGATTTATAATCTCTGCTACAGCCTCTAACCAGGAAAACAAAAGGCATGAGAAATTTGCCTGACTTCTTTAAAATGACAGCCACTGAGCAGGCAAGCTTCGCTAAAACAGGACAACCAAGTAGGATGATGCAGATGTAATGATAAAGATTTATACATGGTGAATATATAAAAGGCATCAGGTTTCCTGTTAACTTGACTGAGGTGAGCTCTTGAAGTTTCCCGGTCTCTCTTGGAAAAATCCAGGACAGCACCTTGCAAACAAGCTATGTTTGGGCCCTTAAAAATTCTTGCTGAATTCTTAGGCTCTTAAATATTACTACTCCAACTGAAGATACAAGGTCGAACTGGATGGAAAGATGGTCATGAATGGGAGAAGATAAACATTCTGAAGTAGCCAGTCATGGCCTACCTGAAAGTACCATCCTGGAACTCTCCCGGAGAGATTATGAAAAACCAT